CTTTGGGACGGCTGCGCTTCATACCAGCAGCAGCAGCCTGGCATTGCCTCTGCACCTGAAACGGAGGCCCTGGTGCTGGAAGAGAGCACCTTTGAGATGGTGCAGAGCAGCCTGGGCATAGAAGACTGCCACGGGACCTCCTTCCCTTCCCGGAAAGGGGCTGCTGAACTCTCTTCTGGGCTCATGGGCAAGTGCCCAGCTGTGCTTGCGCAGACACTCCTTCCGCGCAGAGAGGCTCCTCTCTGGCCTAGGTGGGGGGCAAGGGCCCGTGGCACTCCCTTGGGGAGGGCACAGCATCCGACGGACAGCTGGCGAGCTCTGCCGGACGGTCCACCCACGGCTGCCGGTGCACAGTGGCCACCCTGAGCTCCCAGAGGCCCGTAAGCCCCGTGCAGCAGTCACGGTTTTCACACGAGCCCCAACCAGCTAGAATGGGAAGCGTTGTGCATCCGCCCGTGGGGGTTACATCGGCCATGAATGGACCCGTCTTCCAGAGAGGCCTCTAGTCCTTTTCTGAAGCCAGGGGCGCCAGGGGCGCTTGCTGCATCGGCTGTCAGTGAGTCCTGCAGGTCTACCCTGCGTTGCGTGAAGGTCCCCTTCCAGCTTTCCCAGCGAACTGCCCCGCCTCAAGTGACCCCCTCATCCTTGCCTCTCTCCGGCAGGCCCCAGTTGCTGAAGAATGCCCTGCAGAGAGCGGTGGAGAAAGGCCAGCTGGAGCAGATCACCGGCAAAGGGGCTTCCGGGACATTCCAGGTTAGGAGCCAGGCCGCATTTGCCCTCCCCGGATGGGAGGCCCGGCCTGCTCTGGGAGACCTCCCACCCCACCCCACCCCCCCACCCCAGCTGATTTGCCTTTGCCCACCAGCTGAAGAAGTGTGGGGAGAAGCCGCTGCTGGGGGGGAGCCTGATGGAGGACGCCATCCTCTCTGCCATCGCAGCCATGAACGAGCCCAAGACCTGCTCCACCACGGCCCTGAAGAAGTATGTCCTGGAGAAGCATCCGGGGACAAACTCCAGCCTGCAGGGTAGGAAGGCCCCCTTCTCCCCCCGAGCTCCCGGAGGCCGAGGGACGTGGGGAACAGCTGCCCTGCCCCAACCCGACCCTCGCTGCAGCGGGGCTTCTGGCAAGGGGCCCGGGCTGCCCTGTCCCCTTGCCTGCCACGGTGGCTCCGTGACCCAGGGACAGCAGCTGCTGCTGCTTCTGAACGGTGTTTGGAAGGAAGGACCGTTGGGAGGGAGCAGACGCTTGTGCTCATGCGCACACCCCTCCCCCCCCTTTTGTCCTCTGGGCCTGCGGCTCTGCCCACGCCTCCCCGTTCTCGGGTCTTAAAATAGCTGGGTTGTGTGCGCACGGGTCCTGCGGAGAGAGCGGCGTGCTAGCCCGAATGTGCCATGTGTGCTTTGAACTCAGGCGTTTGCTGGCAAGTTCTGCAGGGTACTGGAAGCCACCAGCTCCTTCCGAGAAGCCCTTCTTTCAGTGCGGCCTCTCCTGTTTGCCGCACGAGGCCCGTGGGCAGCGGAGAGCACAGTCTGTGCCGGGATCGCTCCGGCGTGGCGCTGCCTGGCGGAGCTGCATTGGGGGAGTGAGTGGGCGGCAGCAGCAGCAGAAGCAGCCTTTTACGCAGGGAGCCTTCTATACGAGGAAGGGATGTGGAGAGAAAGGCACAAAGCCCAGGAGCCAGTTCGGACTCTAATCTGGGAGAACCGGGTTTGATTCCCCACTCCTCCACTCGCACCTGCTGGTGTGACCTTGGGTCAGTCACAAGCTCTGACAAGAGCTGTCCTTGAAAAAGAGCAGTTTCTGTCAAGAGTTCTCTCAGCCCCACCCACCTCACCGGGTGTCTGTTGTGGGGAGGGGGAGGGGAAAAGAGTCTGTCAGCCGCCCTGAGACTCCAAGTGAAGGGCTATGGGGTATAAATCCAGTCTCCTCCTTCTCCAGCGGCCAAAAACCCCAGCTCCGTGACGATGGGCCAAATTCTGACCTTGCAGCCCTTCTTGCCACCACCACCCCCCCCCCCCTCCCCAGGGATGGTTCCTTCCTTCCTTCCTTCACGTTTGCTGCGAGGGGAGCGCGGGAACCCGTCCAGTCTGGACTGTGGGGTCAGCTTCCGGAGGGGCTTTGGGGAAGGGGCCAGGAATGCTCCCGAGAGTGCACAGGCCGGCCTCGGGGCAGGAGAGTTTGGCTGGGGTGACCCCCCCCCCCCCCCCCCGGGCCCCCCCGCCCCCCCCCCCCCCCCGGGGCCCTTCCTCCTCCTCCTGTCCACATTTGGTCCTGCTCGGCTTCACGAGAGCCACTGAGCTCTTCGAATCTGGGCAGTCCTGGTTTGGGTTTTTGTTCCCTTCCTCTGTGGCACGCGCCTGTGTGTGTGCCTGGCCTTTCCTTCTGGCTCAAGGCAGCGTGGGCGGCAGAGGTGGTGGCAAAAGGTCCGGCCGGTCTGGTCACACACACCCCTCTCCTCTGCTGCTCTCTCCCCCGCCCTGCAGTCCACCTGCTGAAGAGGACCCTGCAGAAGTGCGAGAAGAATGGCTGGATGGAGCAGATCTCCGGGAAGGGCTTCAGCGGCACCTTCCAGCTCTGCTTCCCTTACTACCCCAGGTGAGGGCCACTCTTCCGGGAAAGGGCCATGGGCCAGGCGTGGAAAGGGCCATGGGGCAGGGAGGGCTGCCTGCCCCCCCCCCACGGACTCGGGGGGGGTGTCGCCACCAGAGGTGGGGGGTGCTTTCATTCATCTCAGCGTCCCCTTCCCCCAACCCCCATTCCCGGAGGAGGAGTCCGAGGAGGAGGAGTCTGAGGAGGAGGAGTCTGAGGAGGAAGAGCCCCCTCCAAAGAAAAGGTAGGAGGCCCACAGGGGTGGGGGCTGGGTCGGATTGCCGGCTGCTTCCTCGCCAGCACCAGAAGACAGCGGGATTATCCTCCGGGTTAGGCCCTTGGAGTGAAGTAGTAAAAACCAGCAGGGCTCCCTTTGAGTCTCTCCATCAAAGAGACATGGGAGAAGATGTGGGGCACACCAGGAAACCCCCCCCCCCCCCCCCCCATGTTTGCGACTCCGAGGCTGAAATCCTTTGCTCCCCTTGCAGGGTGCAGAAGCGGCCCCCGCCGAAAGCCCGGAGCAGGGCCCCTCCGGTGAAGCGGCGAGAGGCCAAGCCCAAGCCACGCAAGGCCCCTGCGGCGCACCGTGGGAAAGCCCGGCCCCCGCCCGTGGTCAAAGCCCCTGCCAAGAAAGCCAAGCCCACACACCCCCGGGCTGCTGCCAAGAAGCCCCCCCGCAGCCCCAGCAGCAGTCCCACCCCTAAGAAGCCAGTGGTCAGCCCCAGGAAGGAGGTGAAGCCCCCCGCCAAGAAGAGCAAGCCCACCATGCGCAAGTCCCTGAGGGTCAAGAAGTGAGCGCTCCTCCTCCTCCGGGTAGAGGGGGGCTGCCTTCTTGGGGAGGGCTTCCCCCCCCCCCCCGCACACACCTCGAGTTGCTTTGTATGGTCGAAACACATTTGTACCTTAGTTTGATGATGCTTACATCTTTCTCTCTCTCCTTTGTCCTCCCCCCTTCTTTGAGCTGGGGAGAAAAGCAGAAGCTCCCCGTGGAGCCTGCAGTCCCGGCCTTTCGGTGAGCTCTCTTGGTTCTGAGCCCTGCCCCCCCCTTCCTCCTGCCCTCAGAACCCATTGCCAGGAATGCAGGAGGATCCCCAGAAGCAAACACTTGTCTGTACAGGGTGCGGCTGGGCTTTGGAAGCCGGCTGCAAAGAAGATTTCTATATTTCTAGAACGTGGAAGCCGCTCCCTGGGGAGACAGAAGCCGCTGCCAAGGGGAGGCCGCCTTCCGCTTAGGGACAGGCCTCCTCTGAAAAGGGGGGGGCTGCCCCCCCTTACTTTTGTTAGCGCCTTTCGTTGTGTAGCTTAGTGGCCCTCCTTCCTCCCCCTCCCCAGGAGTCACTGTCCCCTTAAAAACCAAGCTGATATATTACAAAAAAAAAAAAAAATTCTTGAACCCACCTTTTGAAACTTGTTCTTTTTTTTTCTTTTTTTTTTAAAGAGAGAGATGAGGAATCTGAGTCTTTGTCACTTGTTGCCCCCTTTTTTAAAGGAAAAAAGCATAAGAAATGTCAGAGAATTATCTGATTGCTAACGTAGAGCCATTAAGTAAGGAACCTGCTGTTTGCTAAAATAAAAACAAGATTCCAAGGCCTGGTTGGCTGTGTCTTTGGGGACTGAAGGGAGGGGGAGGCTGTGGGGCGGCGGCTGCTGCTGCGGGGCACCTCTGGGCCAGGAGCAAGAGGCCCCAGAGACTGGCTTGGGGGCCAGCAGGCCAGAGGCGGGGGGCAGAGAGGGCAGCTGCAGGGGGGCCTCTGCTGAGAACTCGGGGCGGGAGGGGGGAGTCTCTGAAGAGCTCCCCAGCTCTGACCACCAGGGAACCACTGGGCCATCCTGGCATCACTTGCTCAGGGGCAGCAGACGGCAGTACCTGCTCACCTGTCACACAAGCCCAGAGGCGTGTGGAGCAGCGGGGTGCCATCCTTAAGGGCAGGGAACGGTCAGCAGAAAGTGGCTCTGCCACCTTGCCCTGCTTCCCTTCCGGGCTGGTGTTCTGCGGGCAGCTGCCCTGTTCTGCCTGCCTCGATGGCCCGGCTGCTCCAGTCCATCTGTTCCTCTTGGCTGGGCTCGGCTCCAGGTGTTTCATACCCAACCGGCAGCCTTTCCCCGAGGGAAGCCATCTTGCCTCTGCATCGTTTCTGGGAGGGAGGGAGGGAGGGGTCTGGTGCTGCTCCTGGGAAGCAGGTGGCTGCGGAGAGGGATGGGTGCCGGTCCCGGGCCGGCAGCCGCGGGCTCCCTCCTCCTCGGTCGCGGGCAGCCCCACAGAGGCGCGGGGGGGG